AGATTATTATTATACTGAGTGCACAGTTTTAACAAGAATTGCGCCCGTTGTTTCGTTTTGGCGGACGCTAGATTTCCATTCACTATAACTATAAATATAAGCTCTAATCAGCTCACTTTATAATAATAATATACACAGAGTACATTATACTACGCATGCCATGTACAAATTGGGCTTATTACCTAATACTGTACATAACATAGCATACATTAAAATACACTCGCGCCGCGCATTCATTGACATGCTAGCTATATAATATACATTAAATCTCTGCAAGCAATACTCGCGCGCTGCACTGCGCGCTAGTTGTCATGGTAACTTACGGAAGGAAGGAAGGACTGACGACATATTTATAGCCACTTACCTCGTTCTCCAAAATCCACGTTTTTCTGCTAAAACGTCCATTCGTAACCTTTCACTATTAGTATTGTCTTTCTACAAAAGAGTGCGAACGGAAAAAATTATATTATGAGAGCTCCAGAGTATTATTTTCGTCAATTTGATACCGAAATTATTGGGCAAACTGACATAATCCGACATACCCTGACATATCTCGACACGTCGGGATATGTCGGGGTTTGTCGGGGTTTGTCGGGGTCTGTCGGGGTTTGTCGGGGTTTGTCAGGATATGTCGGGGTTTGTCGGGGTTTGTCGGGGTGTGTCGGGGTTTGTCGGGGTTTGTCGAGCCTGGAGGCTACATGATGCCTCTAGGTCTTCTTCCTCCTGAGTCTTCCTCCTCCTCCTTCTTCTCCTCCTAAGTCTTCTACCTCCTGAGTCCTCTGAGTCCTCCTCCTCCTTCTCATCAGTCCTCCTTCTCCTCCTCTTAAGTATTCCTCCTCCTCCTGAGTCCTCCTCCTCATCCTCCTCCTCCCCAGTCCTCATCCTCCTCCTCCTTCTCCTCTTCCTTCTCCTCCTCATCAGTACTCCTCCTCAGTCCTCTTCATAGTCGTCCTCGTTCTCGTCCTTAGTCCTCCTCCTCCTCCTCCTCCTCCTCCTCCTCAGTCCTCCTCCTGAGTCCTCCTCCTCATCCTCCTCCACAGTCCTCTTCCTCCTCCTCAGTCCTCCCCCAGTCCTCCAACTCAATCCTCATCAGTCCTCCCCCAGTCCTCCTCCTCCTCCTCCTCAGACCTCCTCCTCCTTCCTCAGTCCTCCTCCTCCTCCTCAGTCCTCCCCCAGTCCTCCTCCTTCTCCTCAGCCTCCTTCCCCTCCTCCTCCTCCTCCTCCTACTCCTCAGTCATCCTCCTCCTCCTGAGTCCTCCTCCTCCTCCTCCTCCTGAGTCCTCCCCCAGACCTCCTACTCCTCAGTCATCCTCCTCCTCCTGAGTCCTCCTCCTCCTCCTCCTCCTGAGTCCTCCCCCAGACCTCCTCCTCATCAGTCCTTCCCCAGTCCTCCTCATCCTCCTCCTTCTTCTTCTTATCAGTCGGCCTCCTCCTCGTCCAGTCGTCCTCGCTCTCGTCCTCAGTCCTCAGTCCTCCTCGTCCTTAGTTCTCATCCTTTTACTCTTGCTCCTCCTCCTCAGTCCTCCTCAGTCATCCCCCCAGTTCTCCACCCCCTCCTCAGTCCTCGTCCTCAGTCCTCCTCATAGCCGTCCTCCTCGTCCTCGTCTTCCTTCTCAGTCCTCCTCGTCCCCGTCTTCCTTCTCAGTCCTCCTCGTCCTCAGTCCTCCTCGTCTTTAGACCTCCTTCTCATCAGTCCTTCCCCAGTCATCCTCCTCCTCCTCCTCCTTCTCCTCCTCCTAAGTCTTCTTCCTCCTGAGTCCTCCTCCTGAGTCCTCCTCCTCCTTCTCATCAGTCCTCCTTCTCCTCCTCTTAAGTATTCCTCCTCTTCCTGAGTCCTCCTCCTCCTCCTCCTCCTCCCAAGTCCTCATCCTCCTCCTCCTTCTCCTCCTCCTTCTCCTCTTCTTCTCCTCCTCATCAGTCCTCCTCCTCAGTCCTCTTCATAGTTGTCCTCGTTCTCGTCCTTAGTGATTAGTCCTCCTCCTCCTCCTCCTCCTCCTCCTCCTCCTCAGTCCTCCTCCTGAGTTCTCCTCCGCAGTCCTCTTCCTCCTCCTCAGTCCTCCCCCAGTCCTCCTCCTCCTCCTCCTCCTCCTCCTCCTCCTCCTCCTCCTCCTCCTCCTCAGTCCTCCTCCTGAGTTCTCCTCCACACTCCTCTTCCTCCTCCTCAGTCCTCCCCCAGTCCTCCTCCTCATCAGTCCTCCCCCAGTCCTCCTCCTCCTCCTCCTCCTCCTCAGTCCTCTTCCTCCTTCCTCAGTCCTCCTCCTCATCAGTCCTCCCCCAGTCCTCCTCCTCAGTGTCCTCCCCCTCCTCCTTCTCCTCCTCAGTCCTCCTCCTCCTCAGTCCTCCTCCTCCTCCTACTCCTCAGTCATCCTCCTCCTCCTCAGTCCTCCCCCAGACCTCCTCCTCATCAGTCCTTCCCCAGTCCTCCTCCTCCTCCTCCTTTTCCGTCTTATCAGTCGGCCTCCTCCTCGTCTTCGCTCTCGTCCTCAGTCCTCAGTCCTCCTCGTCCTTAGTCCGCATCCTTTTACTTCTCCTCCTCCTCCTCAGTCGTCCTCAGTCCTTCTCCTCCTCAGCCATCCCCCCAGTTCTCCTCCCCTCCTCAGTCCTCGTCCTCGGTCCTCCTCATGGTCGTCCTCCTCGTCCTTGTCCTCGTCTTCCTTCTCAGTCCTCCTCCTCCTCCTCCTCCTTCTCCTCCTCCCCTTCCTCCTCAGTCCTCCTCCTCTTCCTTTTCCTCTTCCTCCTCAGTCATCCTCCTCCTCTTCAGGGAATCATGTTTGCGAAAAGTGGAAGGTTAAAGGTAAACACTTTATCACGGCTCCAACGTTCCAGGACCTTATAACTGGCCTTGAAGGGATGGTTCATTATCTAGTCCAATGTGCAACTAAGTACAAGGACTGTGATATTGCTCCCTGGCATTTTGTTTCCGACTCTTGTGAACAATTGTTTGCTTTCCTTCGCACTGGCTTCCACAAAGGACGCCAGACGAACCTATCGAGTGCTTCGGTTGTGCACGGGGCAGCAAGGAAAAATCGGTGCCTTGAGCTTGATGCGAAAGGCAGCCATCTTGTTGCAAATGACGTTGCACACACTCGGGGGAAGACACTGATTCCCAATCCCAACCAAAAACGGGTGTACAAGGGCAGAGACACCAGCCTCAAGAAACTTAGGAAAGCACTCAGGGAAGGCATCGACATGGGGAAGGATATGATTCGTGCTCACACAAAGCTGTCCGGGTGCGAACTCAATATACCTACTGAACCCGACTGTTACACTCTAGTTGATGATGATGACAGGGAAGAGGCTGAGCTTGAGGCTCCCAATGATGATGATGATGAAATGGAGATTTATAACCAGTCAACTGGAGTTCTCACAACCGACGGCCGTTGGTACCATGTTGATACTGCTGCTGAGAAGTTCATGAACGACGGTCGGTCATCAATAGCAGGTCATACACGCCAAAGGAGAATCAAAGGCTACAGTATCGCCAGTGTGTCACTTTCTCGGCCATGTGAATCGCTTGGAAAAGACTGTAAACGTGTATCAGTATCTGTTGGTGACAAGGGCTGGTTCGACAAGAAAAATTCAAGCAAGCTGTCAAGTTCCGCGGGCAGGCTCTGTTCATGTCAACATCGCATATATTCAGCAAGGCTGACACGTCTGTCTGCCGTGTATCCACTAACTCCTTTTGTTCTACCCATCAGAACTATCATGTTTGGGTGAAGTCTAATGTAGATGGTAAGATTTCGGGGGGGGGATCAGGTACCAAGTGCCGGACATCACGTCGACTAAGTGTAGTTTTGGATATGTTTCACTAGACCCACCCACCCCCTTTGCGGTACTAACTGTTTTTTTGGATAATACGTAAGACACCCACCCCTTTTGCCGCCTTTTGCGGTACTAACTGTCGAAAAATCGTGGTACTAACTGTTTTTTGGTATATAGAATAAGATACCCACCCAGAAATTGCTTTTTTTTTAAAAGAGCTCAATTAAATTTTAAAGGAAGACTTTACAAAATTTTAAAAATAAAAAAAAAAACCCAAAAAAAAACTTTAAAAAACCTCAAAACCCATTCCCAAAATTGAAATTTGAGGTAAAATGGGTTTTTTTTTGGGTTAGACACCCCCTTTAGTACCATGTACTAACTGTTTTTCTGGAAAATGGGCAGTAGACCCACCAGTTAGTACCATGTACTAACTGTGTTTTTAGAAGAAAAAATGACCCACCCACCAACGTGATGTCCGGTACTAAGTGTATGATCTCCCCCCGAAGATTTACCTATCAAAAGAAGTTTTGAAGATCACAAAGAGAATTTGAAGTTTTTCTCTATTTTTAATCCTAAGGAATTTAAGCTGTTACTATAACCATAACTACTTTGTGTAATAAGTTTATCTAAAGAAAGATCTGATAGAATATTAATATGAATGTGCCATATATAGTCTATATATTATAATATATAATAATGGGTTCAGCCGAAGCTGATTAAATTTCGTTTTAGGGACCCAACTTACCAGATTTTGAAAGTATGCGAATTTGGCAATAATATTATGTGATGTAGCATTCAAAGACCTTTATAAATCACAATTAATACATCATAATATCTGAATTGTGATAATATCCCAGTGATTTTGACATTTACGCTTACGTGAGATTGACAAGCAGCTAAACTCCAATTATTAATTAATAGGTAATCGTAGTATTGTATTTTTATTTGTTCACCAGTTTTGCTGCGTCTTATTTATCTTCTCTGATGTCATACAGTGTAATATACAAAGATACAACGGTGAATACCAATGGATTTATAGATCCATTTCTCTGGGATATTTCGTTATTTCTAGAGTAAAAAAATGTTGGTAAAAAATACGAAAAAATACGAAAAAATACGAACGCACCCCTAAAATTTGAAATTCGTATTCGTATTTTTTGTAGTTGGACCCCCCCCCTAAATATATGGTGTATTATTGAGTTAAATATATAGTGTATTACTGTATCCAATCTATCCAGGCACTAAGCGGTCGGAAGGTGAACGAGTTGATAGAAGCCACTAGAACATCAGGCAACGTAACAATGAGCTGGGTCCCCAACACATTCTTCCTGATCGTTTTACTGCCTCCCCACAACGTAGTCCTGTGGAATGCTGCTTCCGGAACTAGGATCTGGAAACAAACTTTTGTAGATCCTATGTACTCCTTCTCTTTAGGTATTTAAATTCTCAAAGAATAGCGGTTAAATATTTCATTGCCTTTTTTATTGTGGTGACTGGTGGAAGAAAGATCATGATTATCTGAATTTCCATTGGATAACTGGATCAATTTTGATAGTTTATCATTGTCACAATTTAATGACCATGTACCGTTCCATAATCTTCCTTATATTTAATCTCACCACCAAATCATACCAACCTCAGACCCGTTTGACGAAAGTAGGCTAGTGCTGGTTAGCGACAACTCCCTGATCTTTGTAAATGATCTAGACCTCTGTAAAACCCCAAACAGCCACCCTAAGAAATACCAACTAGCTCTGGGTAACAAAGGAAGATCTGACTCCCTGCAACCCAGTATTACCGGGGACTACCACCCTCATTCCAACAGCATGCAGGTTCTGTTACAACCTATTCAATACCTAATAATACACCAAAATTGGGGATATTAAAATACAAAATTCCTTTCTCTTTGGATCTCTTGTTCCTTCTTCTTCACCTTCTTACATCAGCTATAATATATATATAACAATTAATAATCTTAAAACTCATATATTATAACAGGTTCTAATTCATTACTTGGTTATCCGTCAAAAATCTAAGAACACCCATTGAAGTTAAAATTGTTGGGGGCATCCACCGCTCCTCTTATAGTTATTTTTGTTATATTCATAATGCTTACTTAGTATGCCTGTAAAAACATATGAACTTAATATACTATAATCGTCAGGGTTTAATAAAAGTGGTGCACTCGCCCTACTGTAGAAACAAGCTGCTACTCCTCTACCCAAGACAGATCACTATAATAGATCTGGAGCTCATGCACGCTACTGGATACATTCTACAGGTATACATTCTACAGGTATACATTCTACAGGTATACATTCTACAGGTATACTTTCTACAGGTATACATTCTACAGGTACTTGATGCTTTTGCAAATTGTCAAACTTAGGACTGCTGCTATGTCAGTACACGACCATACCAGGTCCAAAAGTTTCAAAAAATGGAAAGTAAATAAACGGAAAATCATCGAAATATAAAAAGAGATTTTTGATGATTTTTTAATAGAAGCTTTTCTGCGGCCGTCTCCTTGTCCTTGACCCAAATTTCGCAGTTTTGACTGAATTTTTGACCAGTGACCAATCAGTGAGGTCGGTGAGAGTTTTGAAAATGTCCTACCGGTAGGACATTTTCAAATTTTAGCTTTCCGCGACCCAAATTTCACTGTATTGACTAAATTTTTCTTGAATGACCATCTAGCAAGGTTCTGATATGTTAACAAAGATAACACCATACATTGCCCCCGTCTACTTCCCACCACCCAGGACCGGGGTTCGTCACAGTTCATAGACATGTATGTGTGTACGAGTGATAACATTATCTACTGCCTACATGATAGTGGTGCTATATCAATAAGGAGGTTCAGCGATAATGAGACTTATAAACAGGTTACTACACTCTTTATTCTTTAATGTAACTCAATTATAAACTTTTATTATATTAATGCTTTTCAAACAAACTTACAACGAATTCTTCATGTAGTGCATCCTGGGTTTCGACAGGATATGCCCGTTTAAAATATTGCCATCACGTTACATTACATAATTATCAATAAATGTATATTAGATTTGTAGTGTTGTAATTAGTTTAAATTAATATAACTATACACTATACAGGGTGTTTCGTAGGAAGTGTGATTATTGTCCACTTTCATAAGTTTAAGAGTCTTGTAACTTAGTGTGTACAAATTCCAAACATATTTCAACACCATTAGAGCTTTTCATTTAAAACTAGAAAGCTAGAAGTGAACAAATCATTTTATGTGAAAGACCCTGTATTAGTCTAGAATTGACTGGCTGAAGCGTTTTACATAGTTAAATAGATCTTAATTTCCCAGGAGAGCTGTTATCAGTGTTTGGTGGTATCGGAGGCAATGAGGCTGTGTAAGAACGCAAAGCTGATAGGCTTGCAGGTAAATGACGTTCAATTAAACATTTCAGTATTTTTAATGGAACTCTTAGAATGTGGTACATAGTTAAAATGCCACTGCTTGATGGAACTCTTAGAATGTAGTACATAGTTAAAATACCACTGCTTGATGGAACTCTTAGAATGTAGTACATAGTTAGATATATTTATATGTTCTATCTAGAGGAGTTATATAGGTATATAGCCTCAATATTTCAATTAAATTACTATAATAACATTTTAATTACATAACCTTGACTCCCTAATCCCGCAGGCGAAGCCGTTCACAGAGGAAAAGCTATTGTTCATGTTGACAGACGGGAGGATTGTTGGTTGGAGACTCTTTGACTGTGATGGTCCTGTTGACTTTCTCAGTGAGGTAATGCTCATTAAATTTAGGCTTTATTTTATAAATACAGTATTTGATATTCAAAGAAAGGTTAGTGAGGTCTGATCGTCATCTTCTAATACAGCGTTCGATCTCTGTGTGAAAGTGAAATTAAGCGCTTTTAACTACCGTTCACCAGACCTTGACTGCGGCTTTGTTAACAAGGTTTGGCCAGTGGAGGGTCCACAGTAGTCCCATCGCCTTAGTATTGCTGTACAAATACTACAAAGAAAGGTTATTAAAATATAAAATGGTCTCGCAATATATTAACATAACATGACAATGCGATGATAAACAATCATTGGTTACTAATTCTCTTATAAAATCTAATAAATTCGGTAAAAAATCATTTAAACAAGTTTAAAGATCTTAATATAAATAATTATCAATGTACCAATCATTAATTTGAGAAACTAGTAGATACAAATAGTCTTGAATATATATGTATTTTTTAATATAAAAAAACGTCGAAAAATGAGAGGTTTTGTAAATATCAGTGTATTGATAAGTTGACATAACTGTTCAGCTCTTCAGCTCTACCTCAATCGAGTAGATACAGTAAAGTTATAAAATTACCATAAAAGTACTACAACATCCCCCTGCCCCAGGTGCAATGGGAAGAGGAAGTGAGACTGGTAATGATACACAACACTGGGAGTAACAGTTCGCCTCCCTACTCAGCTAAAGTCTGCCCACCTCTCTCCACTAAAAACAGCCATTTCTACCGCCCACTACTCGCTTTAGGTAAGTCTGTCCACCTCTCTCCACTAAAAACAGTCATTTCTACCGCCCACTACTCGCTTTAGGTAAGTCTGCCCACCTCTCGAGCCACTAAAAACAGTCATTTCTACCGCCCACTACTCGCTTTAGGTAAGTCTGCCCACCTCTCTCCACTAAAAACAGTCATTTCTACCGCCCACTACTCGCTTTAGGTAAGTCTGCCCACCTCTCTCAACTAAAAACAGTCATTTCTACCACCCACTACTTGCTTTAGGTAAGTCTGTCCACCTCTCTCCACTAAAAACAGTCATTTCTACCGCCCACTACTCGCTTTAGGTAAGTCTGCCCACCTCTCTCCACTAAAAACAGTCATTTCTACCGCCCACTACTTGCTTTAGGTAAGTCTGCCCACCTCTCTCTCCACTAAAAACAGCCATTTCTACCGCCCACTACTCGCTTTAGGTAAGTCTGCCCACCTCTCTCCACTAAAAACAGTCATTTCTACCGCCCACTACTCGCTTTAGGTAAGTCTGCCCACCTCTCTCTCCACTAAAAACAGCCATTTCTACCGCCCACTACTTGCTTTAGGTAAGTCTGCCCACCTCTCTCTCCACTAAAAACAGTCATTTCTACCGCCAACTACTCGCTTTAGGTAAGTCTGCCCACCTCTCTCCACTAAAAACAGTCATTTCTACCGCCCACTACTCGCTTTAGGTAAGTCTGCCCACCTCTCTCCACTAAAAACAGTCATTTCTACCGCCCACTACTCGCTTTAGGTAAGTCTGCCCACCTCTCTCCACTAAAAACAGCCATTTCTACCGCCCACTACTTGCTTTAGGTAAGTCTGCCCACCTCTCTCCACTAAAAACAGCCATTTCTACCGCCCACTACTCGCTTTAGGTAAGTCTGCCCACCTCTCTCCACTAAAAACAGTCATTTCTACCGCCCACTACTCGCTTTAGGTAAGTCTGCCCACCTCTCGAGCCACTAAAAACAGTCATTTCTACCGCCCACTACTCGCTTTAGGTAAGTCTGCCCACCTCTCTCCACTAAAAACAGTCATTTCTACCGCCCACTACTCGCTTTAGGTAAGTCTGCCCACCTCTCTCCACTAAAAACAGTCATTTCTACCGCCCACTACTCGCTTTAGGTAAGTCTGCCCACCTCTCTCCACTAAAAACAGTCATTTCTACCGCCCACTACTCGCTTTAGGTAAGTCTGCCCACCTCTCTCCACTAAAAACAGTCATTTCTACCGCCCACTACTCGCTTTAGGTAAGTCTGCCCACCTCTCTCCACTAAAAACAGTCATTTCTACCGCCCACTACTCGCTTTAGGTAAGTCTGCCCACCTCTCGAGCCACTAAAAACAGCCATTTCTACCGCCCACTACTCGCTTTAGGTAAGTCTGCCCACCTCTCTCCACTAAAAACAGTCATTTCTACCGCCCACTACTCGCTTTAGGTAAGTCTGCCCACCTCTCTCCACTAAAAACAGTCATTTCTACCGCCCACTACTCGCTTTAGGTAAGTCTGCCCACCTCTCTCCACTAAAAACAGTCATTTCTACCGCCCACTACTCGCTTTAGGTAAGTCTGCCACCTCTCGAGCCACTAAAAACAGTCATTTCTACCGCCCACTACTAGCTTTAGGTAAGTCTGCCCACCTCTCTCTCCACTAAAAACAGTCATTTCTACCGCCACTACTCGCTTTAGTAAGTCTGCCCACCTCTCTCCACTAATAACAGTCATTTCTACCGCCCATTACCTACTCGCTTTAGGTAAGTCTGCCCACCTCTCTCCACTAAAAACAGTCAATTCTACCGCCCACTACTCGCTTTAGGTAAGTCTGCCCACTCTCGAGCCACTAATAACAGTCATTTCTACGCCCACTACTCGCTTAGGTAAGTCTGCTCACCTCTCTCCACTAAAAACAGCCATTCTAACCGCCCACTACTCGCTTTAGGTAACGTCTGCCCACCTCTCTCCACTAAAAACAGTCATTTCTACCGCCCCACTACTCGCTTTAGGTAAGTCTGCCCACCTCTCGAGCCACTAAAAACAGTCATTCTACGCCCACTACTCGCTTTAGGTAAGTCTGCCACCTCTCTCCACTAATAACAGCCATTTCTACGCCCCTACTCGCTTTTAGGTAAGTCTGCCCACCTCTCTCCACTAAAAACAGTCATTTCTACCCGCCCACTACTCGCTTTAGGTAAGTCTGCCCACCTCTCTCCCACTAATAACAGACATTTCTACCGCCCTCTACTCGCTTTAGTAGTCTGGCCCACCTCTCTCCCACTAATAACAGTCATTTCTACCGCCCCACTACTCGCCTTTAGGTAAGTCTGCCCACCTCTCTCCACTAAAAACAGTCATTTCTACCGCCCACTACTCGCTTTAGGTAAGTCTGCCCACCTCTCTCCAATAAAAACAGTCATTTTCTACCGACCCCACTACTCGCTTTAGGTAAGTCTGCCCACCTCTCTCCACTAATAACAGTCATTTCTACCGCCCACTACTCGCTTTAGGTAAGTCTGCCCACCTCTCTCCACTAATAACAGTCATTTCTACCGCCCACTACTCGCTTTAGGTAAGTCTGCCCACCTCTCTCCACTAAAACAGCCATTTCTACCACCCACTACTCGCTTTAGGTAAGTCTGCCCCACCTCTCTCCACTAATAACAGGCATTTCTACCACCCACTACTCGCTTTAGGTAAAGTCTGCCCACCTCTCGAGCCACTAAAAACAGTCATTTCTACCGCCCACTACTCGCTTTAGGTAAGTCTGCCCACCTCTCTCCACTAAAAACAGTCATTTCTACCGCCCACTACTCGCTTTAGGTAAGTCTGCCCCACCTCTACGAGCCACTAAAAACAGTCATTTCTACCGCCCACTACTCGCTTTAGGTAAGTCTGCCCACCTCTCGAGCCACTAAAAACAGTCATTTCTACCGCCCACTACTTGCTTTAGGTAAGTCTGCTCACCTCTCTCCACTAATAACAGGCATTTCTACCACCCACTACTCGCTTTAGGTAAGTCTGCCCACCTCTCTCCACTAAAAACAGCCATTTCTACCACCCACTACTCGCTTTAGGTAAGTCTGCCCACCTCTCTCCACTAATAACAGGCATTTCTACCACCCACTACTCGCTTTAGGTAAGTCTGCCCACCTCTCTCCACTAAAAACAGCCATTTCTACCACCCACTACTCGCTTTAGGTAAGTCTGCCCACCTCTCTCCACTAATAACAGGCATTTCTACCACCCACTACTCGCTTTAGGTAAGTCTGCCCACCTCTCGAGCCACTAAAAACAGGCATTTCTACCGCCCACTACTCGCTTTAGGTAAGTCTGCCCACCTCTCTCCACTAAAAACAGTCATTTCTACCGCCCACTACTCGCTTTAGGTAAGTCTGCCCACCTCTCTCCACTAAAAACAGTCATTTCTACCGCCCACTACTCGCTTTAGGTAAGTCTGCCCACCTCTCGAGCCACTAAAAACAGCCATTTCTACCGCCCACTACTCGCTTTAGGTAAGTCTGCCCACCTCTCTCCACTAAAAACAGCATTTCTACCGCCCACTACTCGCTTTAGGTAAGTCTGCCCACCTCTCTCCACTAAAAACAGTCATTTCTACCGCCCACTACTCGCTTTAGGTAAGTCTGCCCACCTCTCGAGCCACTAAAAACAGTCATTTCTACCGCCCACTACTCGCTTTAGGTAAGTCTGCCCACCTCTCTCCACTAAAAACAGTCATTTCTACCGCCCACTACTCGCTTTAGGTAAGTCTGCCCACCTCTCTCCACTAAAAACAGCCATTTCTACCGCCCACTACTCGCTTTAGGTAAGTCTGCCCACCTCTCGAGCCACTAAAAACAGTCATTTCTACCGCCCACTACTCGCTTTAGGTAAGTCTGCCCACCTCTCTCCACTAAAAACAGTCATTTCTACCGCCCACTACTCGCTTTAGGTAAGTCTGCCCACCTCTCGAGCCACTAAAAACAGTCATTTCTACCGCCCACTACTCGCTTTAGGTAAGTCTGCCCACCTCTCTCCACTAAAAACAGGCATTTCTACCGCCCACTACTCGCTTTAGGTAAGTCTGCCCACCTCTCTCCACTAAAAACAGTCATTTCTACCGCCCACTACTCGCTTTAGGTAAGTCTGCCCACCTCTCTCCACTAAAAACAGTCATTTCTACCGCCCACTACTCGCTTTAGGTAAGTCTGCCACCTCTCTCCACTAAAAACAGTCATTTCTACCGCCCACTACTCGCTTTAGGTAAGTCTGCCCACCTCTCTCCACTAAAAACAGTCATTTCTACCGCCCACTACTCGCTTTAGGTAAGTCTGCCCACCTCTCTCCACTAAAAACAGTCATTTCTACCGCCCACTACTCGCTTTAGGTAAGTCTGCCCACCTCTCGAGCCACTAAAAACAGTCATTTCTACCGCCCACTACTCGCTTTAGGTAAGTCTGCCCACCTCTCTAGCCACTAAAAACAGTCATTTTCTACCGCCCACTACTCGCTTTAGGTAAGTCTGCCCACCTCTCTCCACTAAAAACAGTCATTTCTACCGCCCACTACTCGCTTTAGGTAAGTCTGCCCACCTCTCTCCGCTAAAAAACAGCCATTTCTACCGCCCACTACTCGCTTTAGGTAAGTCTGCCCACCTCTCTCCACTAAAAACAGTCATTTCTACCGCCCACTACTCGCTTTAGGTAAGTCTGCTCACCTCTCGTGCCACTAAAAACAGTCATTTCTACCGCCCACTACTCGCTTTAGGTAAGTCTGCCCACCTCTCGAGCCACTAAAAACAGTCATTTCTACCGCCCACTACTCGCTTTAGGTAAGTCTGCCCACCTCTCGCCACTAAAAACAGTCATTTCTACCGCCCACTACTCGCTTTAGGTAAGTCTGCCCACCTCTCTCCACTAAAAACAGTCATTTCTACCGCCCACTACTCGCTTTAGGTAAGTCTGCCCACCTCTCGAGCCACTAAAAACAGTCATTTCTACCGCCCAC